ATTTGGAAAAAAAGAATTGTCAATTATGCTACAATTATGTTATGTTTTAATCAAGTGTACAATCCATTGACAAAGTACTACATTTGTACTGTTAAAATCAATTGTTTATTTATAAAAAAAGGCAGGTTCTCTACAACACGTTAAGCTGTTTAATTTATAAAAAAAAAATTTCGGAAACATCAGCCTTTTCGCATGAAATTATTCATTTTAATTTCATTCTTATGATTTTCATACTATAGTAACGATTAACTTCTTATGAACCTTGAATTATTTAATATGTATAATCAGTTCTAGTACCAACGGCAAACAGTAATTTCTCAACAACTTTTTGTTCATATTCAAGCAAGAAAATTTTTGTTCAAAGTTAAGCTGAGCTCTAGTATTTGAGCGGTAACATTTCTCATTAGAGAAGCAAGAGATCGATAATATCTCAAATAAATACTATATATGATACGTACGAGTTTGAAATGATTCATCGTTTTCAAAATTTGATGATCTAGTAAACCTACATTGTGGTGCACATACAATGTGTATGCATGTGTACTTTATCGCTAAAAATATAGTAAAAACAGTTGACTCATTTTAATGTTCGTTAAAATTTATCAAAAACTGAGAAAGTATTTACGATATGAATCATTAGTTATTATGTGTCCTTATGTGTGATTGCATCATAACAGTATTATCTGTAGAAATAAAATGACGTATTTGAGTAAACATATCGTTTGTTTGTAACTTTTAGAAATAGTTATTATATAAAGAAAAAGCATGGGAAAATATAATTAAAAAAAAAATCTCGAAATAAAAGTTTTACTTTAACGTGTATTGATTGGAAAAAATTAATGGGTAACATATTAAGACAATCGTTCTGCTTTGTTAATACTACCAGTATGGATAATAACATCAATCATCAACGAAAAAAACTTAATATTAACAGAATTATTTACAAATATGGCTTCGGAGCGATACAGGAGCGAGATATTATGAGTTTAGCAATACCAAAACTTTCTAAAATGTATATTCTACGACATGAAAGTGTCAAACTTATCAATTCAAATACAATCAATTTTGGTAATGAATGTATTCGACTTGTCAATATTGCCTTTCACACAAGTCAGATATTTCCTTCAATGATGAGTACATTTGATGATATCAGTCAGTACTTACGAAAAGAACTTCGTCGAAGACATTCAAAGAAACATTTTCATATAATTATTGGTGAAAATAATGGATTCAGTTTTTTGATTAGTGACTTCGAACATTTTGCTGATATTGAACAAGAACAATATCGTGTCTTGATCTTTTCAACGAAGTCACTCCACAATGTAAAAGTTGATACACGTAATGTTAATGCTCAAATGAAATTGCATTGGAAATCAGTCATAATTAAACAAATAGATAATTAATAATTTTTGTATATCAATCTCATTGAAAAATATATTTCGAAATATGTATCATACTCAGTAATCAAATGAACTATCTGTTAATCATATTCTATTTTTCTTTGTTTAGTAGATCTATCGTTAGGCTCTATTCCTATTCCTCTTATTTGATATAGTAGAACTTAACTTTCGCTACAAAATAATGTTGAACATATAATATCATTCTTGATTATGATTTATTATTCTGTAGAAAGATTTAGACAAAGATACATTGGAAAATATTCAAACAAAAATGTTTCGGCTCAGCTTGAAATGCTTGCATTACTTAATTATTAGAAGTACTTTATATATATTTTCATTATTCATATTTTTTTATGCATGAAGTATATATCATAGTCTTAATTATTTGAGAATGAGTGGTAAATGATAGAATCCATGCACTTACCCAACTCCTCAAATAAACAATTGATTTGTCTTAAACTACAAACGAGGTATTTCTTTTTCTTTTTGTATTTTTTCTTGTTCAAGTTAAATCATCATATTAGAAAAACATCGGAACATATTGTAGAAAGTACTAGTATATGTATATGAGACAAAATGAAAGTGCGCTACAGTATCATAACAACGATGGAAATAGCATTCGAGACGTGCCATATATAGCCGAGAATATTGTAACGTGATCACTTCCCTTATTTTCATTAGTTCAAGCGATGATTTCGGCACTAAAATCATCACTTTGTGAAACACGATTAGAAATGAAAATTCAACTTTGTAGAGAGAAAGCTGAATGCAGGAAAGCTCCTTCTGCCAGAAACATTACTATTCTTGACTAAAAAATGCTTAACTGTCATAAATCGAGACAGAAAAACCGGAAAGAAATTCTCCAACGGTATTCATTGTGACAGGCATGCCAACATGTTTATCTTCGTTCATATCGATTGCGAGAAATTTCCGCCCGTTGGGTCGCCAACAGTAGTAAAACGCTTATATCTCAGTTCCTACTCAACCAGTTTTGATAATTTTTTTAAAAATCCTAACTGTCTAGGCCATCTACCAAATCTCCTATTAAATCTTTAGACTGATATCACTGTGAGGTTTTCAAGGTAAAAAATCACTGGGCTTTGCGTCCCCTACCGACAAAAAATACTTTTCTTTGCTATAACTTTCATTGGACAAAACTAATTTTTTAGAGCTAATTTGTAGCCAAAACTTTTCTCTTTCTGACTACATAAGTTAACTACAACTTTGATTTCAATATATCCATCGAATATTCCAAAACTGCCTAGACACATTAACAGGACATTTTATGTTCTGACGTATCGAATTGAAGCTACTAAAGTCGATTTAGAAATAAACTCAGATTTTCTTTTTTGCATTCGACAGACTAAAGGACCAGAAATATTTTGGTAAGAATTGTTTTTGTTAGAAATTCTTTGGTCGAAAAAAGGGTTTATAAATAAGAGAAGCAAGTACATATAGTTCCACTAAAAGTCCCGATAGACTTTTGATTTTATTACTTTGATTTCACAGTAACTACAAGAGATCAAGCAGGAATTTTTTTCTCATTCTTAGCAGACCATATAGTAGAACTATGGTGAAAAATTCAAATTTTAGACACACAGTGTTCATGAGAAAATAGCATCTTACTCGAACAATATCCCGACAGATTTAATTATATTTATTTAAAAACAAAGTACTTATTATTGTTTGCTTGGGTAACTCTTCTTGGATTGAGAGACAGTTCCGAATATTTACTAGCGTTCTCGTACTATGAGTATCTCTGAGATCTGGCTTTTGTTTCGTTTACCATCATGAACCAAGTTTGTATTTTGCATAGAAAGGATAAATGTGGAAAAGACTTTTCTTCTGCTCTCAAAGATATTTCGGGGCCTTATGTTGCAATCAGACCCGATGTAACTCCTGATAATGATCTGACAATTTACTTGGTGACAGCTCTTGATTGAAGTTCTGATCGATGCCCATGATCCCATTAGGACTGTATCAAAAAAGTTTTATGTATTTATCATCCCCGTAGGATGGTACGTACAGGATAAGTCGAAAACTCGATTAGGCGCTATTGCAAAAAAATTCTCTTGAAATATTATCAAGAGGTGCCTCTGACTTGATTTCAACACAAGAAACTGACATATTTTAGATAACAGAAAAGTGGTCTTTTGCAATATTATTCTGCAAATTATTCATCAAATACTAGTTTCTAACTACCAATGCGTCGGTTTCTTGCTGCGCATCAACCTAAATGTTTTCGTTTTTTTTATTTGCTTACGCATTAGATTAATGCTTCCAAAATAATTCGATTGATATGCAACAATAACGTAAAAAAATACTAATTTAGAAATTTTACCATGTCAACAAATATCTGAACATACACATACTCAAATCGCTCGGTTTTTTCTAAAATGAAAAATTTGGTAGTTGGGAAAATACCCATTTTGTGTACAATGAATAAAGCTCTATCGAATACGCAAGTCAAATTGTCGCCGTGTTCACTTTTATTTTATACGATTTTTTTCTGCTAGCAGTACAATACAAGTACAATTCACCCATATATGAGTATTTTATCGTGATACACATGGTGAGCATTCTCCATGATGATTACACTGTTAGGTAGAAAGTAAATTATAGAGAATAGGAAAGGATATTTTAGAAATATTCAGATGTAAACGTTGACGATAAATTTCTACTTTATAGAAAATGAGATATTTAAGAAAACAGAAATTCGAATTCTGAATTTCTCGTTAGAAAATTGTACACTATTTGGCAATACGAGTATTTTATATTAAATTGAAAATTGATTTGAGTATTGATTTTGAGATTTATTTTTCTTACTATTTATTTTACTACATTCGTACCTCATTAATAATATGCAAAAAAAATGGAAAACAATTCACGTTACAATAAAAATAAACAGAAACATTTCAAATCTATTAACAATAAAAGAAACTAAGATGGCGAACAATAATAAAGATTCTGTACGATATAAAATGCATAATAATCTACCAAAAACTAATTCTTTAACATAGAATAATTTATATATTTGTGCAAATCAAATATTTCAACTGAGAAAAACTATCAAAAATCTAATGGTCATTCCTAAATAGAAATAAAATAAATAAAACATACAGAATATGTTGTAAAATAAAAAATAACCCAATGACTGAATCTTCATTAGAAGAAAAAATTTAAGTGAAGCTAACTGGGCGTATAGTGCAACCACGAACATATTGTACCAGTTACTATTGCCAATGATGCAATGAAGGAAAATTAAACATTATCATCTAATATTTATATATAGCTGAACAATGACTGTTTATCAATGGTAGATCAAATAATATTTTCTATGAAATGTATGTTGATTTTCAAATTTATCCATGGTTGCGATTGATTTTCTAAATAATTGCATTGTGCTCAGCAATATATAACAATTAGAATTTGCTTCTAATTTACAGTGTAGAGTCGCGATATCGTGGTTCATACTTTAATTCTTTGCAGACTATGCCGAAGAAAAATTTTGTTTTAAATTTTGACTTCTTAGATCGATGCATGTCTATCTGCAACTAAATATAAATTGCGTAGATTTAATGATAAATGAATGGTACAGACATGTGTCGAACAAAAGTTGTTCGGCAAAGATTTTCTGAGCATGTTTCTCTAGAGTTTTGATGTCCTGTTGAACATCTACATTGGATTCGTTATTATTTAGATGAAAGAAAAATTTCAGGTAGAAAGTGCGCTCGACTTAATATAATTATGATAAAAATGGACTTTGACAGTACCGCCAGTTCAACTATAATTGTGGAACGGTAACGACACAATGTCTAACACAACTACTTATTTCATCCGAACTTTTTCACAAAGACATGCACAATAATGAATGTGATAAACGCAGAATTAAATGTGGACGAAGATTTTCTCTTTTATCGTATCTAATTTTCGTTATACTTCATATTGCTGATTCCATTTATTATAATCTCTCGCTTTATATTAGCATTTTTCTTTATTCATCGTACTAGTTTGCAGGCGTCTAAACTCAAGCTCTACTCATTTTCTCGTAGGCAATACTTTTTAATTGACGTTGATCATACTGCATTCAATTAATTATTACCATTTTGGTCATGTCAGTCTAGCTGTAGCTATCTTTTGTGACTTGTAGACTTTTACGGACTATACACTGACTGTAATGAATATTCTTTTAATAGCTATGATTTCTGTTCAACGTCATATGTTCGTCTTTAATTCACAACTGTTGTAAACACGTTCAATGTGAATACTCATCAATGTGTCGACTAGTCCGAATCGATAAGTCGCATAAATGATAAAACTTCATTTCAAAAATAGTAAAACTTGCACTGTGCTAAGAAAAATGACAACTCTTGCCCATTGCAGAAGAAAATAATGAATATGCTGATGTTCTAATCTTGGAATATCGAATTGTAGATGGAGTCTGGTACTTTAAATAATATATATGTAATTTTGACTTTAAAAAAATCTACTTTTTTCATTGCTATTGTGAGCTCTTTATCAATCCTATCACGAATCATAAATAATCTAAAGAACTATCATATAGAATTACAATGGACTCATCACGTTTCACATACCTAAAACATACTGATAACAGTGAAAAACTATTGCTAGTACACAGCCTATAATTTTGAATGAAGAGACAACAATTTGACTTTTTGCAGACCACTGATAGATGAGTCATAAATAATCCCATCGTTTTAACACTCATTTATGTTACAATGTTTTCATTGAAAAATTTCTCAAGAAAATGAGTACTGATTGTTACATTTGGGAAACGAAAATGTCATGAAACATTGTACAAAGAATTAAAATCATGAACAAACAGCTCAAAAGGTTCTTTACATCTATTGTTTCTTGAAATTTTATGATAAGAAAAAGCTAAACTAATCATCGCGTACGCTTTGAAAAGCTCTGATTTTTATAAATAGCTTACAAAAACCTATCACTTGAAATTGACTGCACAAGACTTTTATTCTTCTTGCCAACTTTTCAAGGGTTCTAGACTGAAAGGGTTAGTCTATTTCTCACTCACACCCTCATTTATCGAACAAAATTGATGAGTAAGATCGATAGAACAACATGGCAACTAAGCCACTTGTTGATTGGTCTATATCGCTACAGGTCAATAATATTTGAAAAGATTTTAACGGATAATATATTACCGGAGGACTTCTGTAATAAACAAATGAAAAATTTTGTTTGATTTAAATATTTTTACAATGTAGACGTTTCTTTGACATTACTTTCATTAAAATGATAATGTCTATTGCAAACAATCAAGAAAGTCTAATGTACTGAAATACAGGATTTCATATTTATGTCATCAAATATATATAGTAAGCTTTCTATTATCGATCTATACACTTATGCCATCCGTTAGACAAAACAGAAAACAATTTCGAAGATACATAACGAATAGTTGTTGTTGCAAAAATATCACTTTCAATTAGCTTGGTTTTCCATTCTCTAGGTATACAATTTATATAAAAGGACGTCAGTGTCTTGCCAGAATTTCATTTTAACCATTTCTATTTTAACTCATCCGACTGTGTGAGATTAATAATAAATTTAAAGCTCTATAACATTAATTGAGTTGTAACCAAATGAAAACATCATTGTCTCCGTTATCATGTGTAAGTATATTTTTACTAAAAATTCCTCATCACTTACAGTTCAATTCTTTTTGGTACTTACATATTATACATGACTTGCAACAATAGTTCCACTCATAAGTCAATATTCATATCAATAACCTCTTAAATAATATCATAATAAGTCTTTGTATGTCTTCAATGTACAAAAAAAGCATTCAGTTGATGATGAATTACATGTCCATAGCTAAGTCCGATGACTCATACAAAATTGAACACTGATGATGTTTCGATTAAATTTATAGAATTCTCATTTAAACTTAGACAGCAAAAAGAATCTGTGTCAAACACAAAACGATGTCTGCCAATACGAAATTATCACAATGGATGTAGATCAATCGAAAATACTTCAGACTTGGTTCTTAGCAATCAGATAAACGTGAGAGCGCCTTGGTGTGTATTACCAAGCATCTTCACGCAGGTTCCATCTTCGTAACTCCTAACGTTAAGGGTCTGGAACTCGCCAAGATATTGTTGGCCTAGCTTCACATCCATAAGATGCCTCGATATATTTGCGTCTGATAGATCTTATATGATCCATCACAAAGAGCTAAACTTTCGACAAAATAATATCGAGTATTAAATTTTAGAGTATTTTCTTTTTCTTTTACTGTTGTTATAGTTTTCATGATTTGATGAATAGACAGTATATGAATTGCTTTCGATTCATGAATCATAGACAAATGCACGATTTTTGATCTATGATTTCATATTTTGCATGATTCATCAACCACTTGATGATAGTGACTTGACGAATATGAGATAATGACGTTATTTTGATATGTGTCATATATACAACAAAAATGATAACAAACAGTCAAACAATATATATAACCATGTCGTAGTCAATATAACCTGTATTAAATATTTTTCTACAATCGTTTTATTCAATCTACATACAATATGGCTGAAATTGTTTTTGAAATTTTTGGTCGAGTCGTAATCGAAGTGATCGGCGCAGCTATTGCAGGAGCAATATCAAGTCCAAATAGACCAGAACGTCGTTTAAAAAATTCCAATTTATCCTCTCAAAAAATTAATCGATCATTAGACGTAGTGTCGCCATCATCTACTCATAATAACCGTGCAGTACTTATTGCATCAAGCAATATTACTTTTGGTAATGATTGTGAACGTCTTGTTAATATAGCTTTTCAAACAAGTCAAACTTTTTCTACAATGATGGGTACATATGCTGATGTTCAACAATATTTACATAAAGAACTTGCTAAACAATATCCTCATGAATATTTTCATATAATTATTGGTAAAAATCAAAACTTTGGTTTTTCTATTAGTGAAGATCAATATTTTGCTGAAATTGAACAAGATCGATATCGTGTATTGATTTTTTCAACAAAACAAAATCCTCATACAAAATCTGACACTCATGATGCTAATAGTAAAATGTTATTTGTATGGAATTGAAATGTCGCTTATTTATTTTTTACAGAAAAAAAATAATAAAATAGAAATGTACATGAAAAAGTTTATTTAATAGATAATATTTGGATTTGTTTGTCCACTGGCATTATCGAGAACCGTTAATGTTCCACTACCTTGTTGACTCGGTGTATCTCCACCAAATTTTTCTGCTTGTAAATCTGAATCTTTCGAAGGTGAATTTGTTTCATTAAGAATTTCTTTATCTTTGCTTGTCAATCTATTGTCTGTTGCCTCTTTATAATGTTGATTAACAGCAGCGTCCATTTCTATATAATTAATTGTATAGTTTAATAAATCAAAAAATATAAATATATCGAATAGTACAAAAGTTCGCATTAATTTTGTCTTCAGTATAGTGTGACAATATATTGTTCTGAAGATTCGATAGTTTTCTTGTTAGAAAGACCAAGATCTTTACTACTAAGCTGTGCAAAAATATTTGGTTCAAAATACTTAGTGAAGACTGAAAATGCTTGACAAGAAAAGTTCTCTGTATGTTTCTGGATTTTGGAAGAAAATCTCCATCTTCTAAGAAAATTAGTGTTATTTTCTGTATTTGATTGGATTTTGTAGCGCAATGATAGGGCATTCTGACAGGATAAAAGTAAAATTTTCAAGTTATTGGTTGAATTTGAAATCGACATGCTTCTAACAAACTTCGCTAGCGAAAAAAAGTGTTCATAACTAATCAGTAATTTCAAAAAAATAAGATTTTTTTCGGCAATCAACGTTATTGAAACCTCATATTTTATATCCGATTTGAGTTTAATGAATTTCCTACAAAAACATATTATATAAAACAGAATACAGTTTTTCTATTAGAGATTATAAGAAAAAACTTCATTGAATGTTATAGAGCAAAAATCAAGTTTTTAATAAAACTGCTTTCTATGAAATCTGCAGTTTTATAAAGGCAAATCGATCAAATATACTTCTCATTACTCATTTAGTATGAAGTTGCAAAGTAGTTTTCAGCCTTCAGATAAGTATTTCGAATAAAATATTTTTATATATCTTTGTAGAAAATTATCGAGTATCCACGGCAAGTTGTTATTACGCTATACTGAAAACAAAACTAATGCAAAAACCTTTGCACCATCCATTATGTATATATATATTGACTTACAATGTATTGGTAGGTATACAATTGCGTAAAATAAAAGAAAGAGAAGTATTAAATGTAATGAAACAATGTTTCTTTGTTTCGATTTATATAGGCACTTTTTTTTCTTGGCTGTTGTCGTGCACGTAATGATTGTTCTCCGTTTGCTCATAAAGAGCAGAAATAGAAAATAAACTCTTTCACCCGGAGTTTTTTTTGTTAGTAGTTTCTTTCGAATTCTTCGAGAAACATAAAACACTGACATGAAGTACACATCAATCTATCGTCTTCTGTTACTACTTCGTTCAAGGTAAAATAAACTGACGTTCGAAGAAATTTGAAAAAAAAGAATCTTTACGATAAATCAATCGAACAAATGTATGACGTCATAAAATGTCTATTTTAAACATTTTATACTTTTTCTATTAACGCAATAACCTACATATAAATCAAAACTCTATTGTACATCACTATTTGGCTAAATTAATCTCCTATGAAATTCAAGTTATTTTTAAATGATATCTGACAAAATATATTGAGCCGTAGTAAGAAAAAAAAATACAATTTGAAAAAAAAACTAATTGTTTTAGATTTGGTCATTCATTATCTCATTAATCAATCGTTGTCGTTGATGATGAATCGAATTCATGTATTGTCGATTGAGCTGTTGGAGCTGGTGCTGATGTTTGTTGTTGTGAAAATTCTTTATCTTTAAGTTGCTGTTGACCTTCACGTAGTCCAGTTATTTTATTTAAAATATCTTTCGCTGCATTTTTCACTTCCGGAAATTCTAGACACTTTCTAGCGTATGAACATGCTTGATCATATTGACGTTTTTTTACATGATAATTAGCGAGAAATTCAGCAGCATGAGAAAATTCTGTAAAATTTTTTACCTGAAAATAAAAAAGGAATTTTTTTTTAATTCAACAATTTTATTTTGATTTTAATACTTGTCGTAATTCTTGTGTACGAATAAATTCCATATAGGCACGAGCAGCTGTTTCTTCATCTTTTAAATGATCACATACACTAAAAAATAGTTAGAACTAAATAAAAGAAGAAAAAAAAAAACAAACTTAAACTATTTACTGTGCATATTTTGCAAGTGCATTGCCTTCAATATCACCAACACAATATGAGCGCCAATAACATTTTTTTGCTTCATGTAATTTTTGTGTTCGCTCATAGACTTCACCAAGTGCATTTGAATAACGTGAATCATTTGGTCTATAAATAGATATATATAAAAAATAAAATAAAATAGATATTAAATAAATTAATAGATTTTAATTTACTTAAGAGCAAAAGCTTCTTTAAAATAATACAAAGCATAATTGTACATTTTTATTATTTCATATGTTTCACCAAGACCATACCAAGCACGATGATCTCTACGATTAAGATCTAAATAGAAAAAACCAAGATCTTCTACTTAGTTTTATTGAAGAATGTAAATATTTTATTTTTTTTAATTGGAACTGTTTTTTATTTAATACAATGTTCAACAATAAAATGCAGTAACAAGTATGTTGTAGAAAGAACCTCAAAAAAAATGAAAAATTCTGTTTCATATGAGTTTTATATCATTAAATAAACTTTATTAAGACTATAGAGAGGCTAAAAGTATTCGTATTCATAAATCTTTCTACTTGAGTTATGGTCATTTGAAAGAGTTTCTCAATAAAATGTCCTGCTCCCCCTTGACATCACTTTCAAAAAGTCATTTTCGAATTGAAAATTTTTCACGAAGACAGTTCTCGTTAGTTCAATGTTCATTTCTCAAATGTATTTTTTTTTCTCAATTATTCAACTTACCTAACGCTTCTCGATAAGCATTAATAGCTGCTGCATGATTTTTTCCTTCGACAAATTCATGGCCTAATAATATCCATGCAGCTGGATAATCTGGATTCATACGTAATGCACGAGTAAAATATTGAATAGCACGAGCATGATCATTACGGATACTATAAAAATTACCTAGGAAAATCAAACATAAAACAAAAACAAAGAACAATTGATATAAAAAATAATAAAATTGACTTTACCAACAACAATACATGTTTCAAAACGATATTTTTCAATTTCAATACATTTTTGTGCTAATCCTGCTAATGCATGATAATCTTCCTTGAAATAATTTTATAATTAGAGTAAATATCAATATAGATTTAACTTACAAGAACAAAAAGAATATTTGAAAATATATCCATTGAATCAAGATTATATGGATCAATAGTTCGTGCATCTTCACAACAAGTTCGTGCTAATTGTAATTCTAAACAATAACAAAAAGAAAAAGAATAGTGTTCTCCAAAAACAAAACAAAACAAAACAAAAATTTAATCTTAATTAACTAACCAGCTCCTGTTTCATAAGCTTTAGCTTGTAATAAAAGAATATATGTTGAATTATGAAAACCAATTTGTGTTAATTCTTTACAAATATATACACATAGTTCAGGTTTATGTAATTCAACATAACATCGAGCATAAAATACATTGCGTATCCAATGTTTAGGTAAATCAAGACTATGAAGCTAAAATACGAGAATAAGAAAAATAAAATAAAAAAAAAAAACAAATTTGAGTTTTTAATAAACCTTTTGTTCACTATCAATTAGCGTGACAAGATCTTCCCATGCTGACCAAAGATGAGGTACTGCTTTAACTGTACGAACAAAATAGGGTAATGCTTCATTAAGTAAACCTAATCGTTTGAGTACAAGAGCATAACTAAACAAACAAACAAACAAAAAAAGCACAAGCAGTAGCTTTAGAAAAAAAAAACTAATCTTAACACAAACTTACACATAACAACTATAACCATTTAATGGTTGATTTTTTTCACTCGTTGTCAATTCAGTACGAAGACGTATCAGCCATGTATTATCAAGTGATGCTTTGGCTATTCAAGAAAACAAAAAAGTTCATGCCATCAATTAATTCGAAAAAGAGATTTACTTGTTGCTTGTCGTTGATTACTAGCTGTATCAGCTAGAAATAAAATGAAAAACTTATTTTTTGAATGAATAGAAAGATGAAAAAACTTACGAAATACATCAACAAAATCATCACAACGATGTTTAAGACCATCCTAAAAGAAAGAAAAAACAAATAATAGAATAACAACTATCATTTACATACTAGATATAATGCATAAAGTCGAAGAAAAAAACCATATCCACTTGTACAATTTCTTAAATGATGTGCACATCGAGTGTATTCACGAAGATCAAAATAACTTTTTGCCATTAGATATAAACTTGATGTTGTACCTAATTCCTAAAAGAAAAACAAAAACAAGATAAATCTAATTTATTTTTCTCGTGGATAGAAATATCAAGATTATCTCAAGAAAAGATGAAACATTCAAATTTTATGATTATAAATCTAACTTACGCGTGCTGTTACATTCAAATTAATTCCATCGTCTAATTCATCATTATCACTTTCAGTCGATGTTGATCCTAAAGTAATACATTGAAGCATTTCACAACACCTAATGAAAATAAAATAAAATACATCCATAAAAACTAATTTAAGAAAATCTTTCTTGTTACATTTACCATTTTCTACTATGTACAAGTCCAACAAGATCCAATTCAGGTATTGCTTTTTGTAAATCAGTTACCACAGTTTTTGGATCAAATTGAAAATAATTAACATCACGTTGTTCATCAAATGACATTGATAATGGATTCATTATTGAATATTCTTCTGTTGTTTTTTTTTATCTCAAAAAAATACTTTTCGTTTTTTTTTTTTTTTGTAATAAAAATAGATAAAGTAATTATAATAGATGTTCTTTTCATAAAAGTTTTATTCAATATATATAAAATATCACACGAACAAGAAAACAAAAACTATGAAATTTATGAAATCTACATAACTACTGTTGCCTTATTCGACTAGCAAGAACTCGAGTAAACATAATTGCTATAGATTAAATGGATTTGTTGAATTTAATCCGTCTTTTGTTCTACTTGACATCGGTGATAATAATATTGGATTTAATAAATTTTTAAATGTATCACGTCTTTCACGTTCACTTATTTGTTGTTGTGATTTTTTATTATTATTAGTATTATTATTTATATCATTAATTGGTCATATATATGAATTATGGTATAATCAATATGGTCAACAACTTGACTGTGTTTTACATCAAACAGTTCCACAAATAAATATTGAATTATTAAATACATATAAAACACGTTTATTAACAAATAATGATACAAATAATAANGTACGCCTACATTGGCAGCAAAGCTATACTTTCGAATTTTGACCTGAAACTTTGCCTGCATAAAGGCCTCAGCTAGACTAGTTGGATGTTAAAGTATCAGGAATCAGTCATATATTCTACAAAAAGCAATGCAAAGTTTCAACAGGTTAAAAAGGTTCAAGCAAAAATAGATGTCGTTCATCATAATTCTTATTACATTAAAACAATGAGAACGAGATTATACTGTTGAAATATATTCTTACTAGAGAATGTACAGAAAATTTTCCAGATGTTCAACATATCGAGTACTTAAAATTCCGTGGAATGAAGACTTTTGTTCATATTTTCATGACTTGACAAAGGAGTAAATTCTTTCGGTAGTGAATCGAACACTCTCTACTATGTTATATTGTTTTGTTTCATGACAAACAGTCATTAATTTTGATATACGAATTCTTTTTGTCATATTGTTGTTTAAATAGAAAAACAAACCTTGAATTTGAGTAATTTCTTGTATCATATTAACCATTTCATCTAAAGTAGTATTAACTTTTTCAAAACAATCTCGTTTAATCATTTCAACTAAACATTTTGCTAGAGAATTTCTTATATGCATTGAATCCATAAATATTTGTTTTAAATAAGTACTTTTAATAATAAAAAATAATTGTTTTTTAATTAAATTTCTTTCATCAAGTTTCAATATATTCCATTTATGTTTTATAATTGATTCAAGAAGATTTAAACTAAAATGATGAAGTATTGATTGATTATTTGTTTGTTTTAATAATTCAAATGATATTGTTGAACATAAAACTGGTTGATTTTCTTTTAAATCTTCAAGAAATTTTAATGCATTTCGTTTTTCAACATTTGTTGTTTTTGAATTAAATGAACAAAGAGCAGCAGAAATAACTTTTTCAAATAATTCAGGTGTGTAAGTCATTGTTTCTTGTTCAATAGTTTTTCAAGTCTTAAAAATAATTCAAGTTTATGATTATTATTGTTTATTACTTTATCTATCAAGAATATCATCATTTAGTACTGATTCTTCAAATAATGGATTTGTTTGGGGGAATGGTTCATGTCAAAACAATTATTAAGGCATTAGAAAGACACATATTAACTAACTATCGATGACAAAAATAAGAACCAATCAATATAAGAAAACACATATATATGATTAACTAAAAGTGACATCTGTTTCATTTATTTTTTACATTAAAATAAAATCTAAAAATTAATCTCTTATAATAACTGATAATTATTCAAATTTTCGTCTCTTATTGATATTATCATATTAAACGAAATAAATTATAAAATAAATAAACAAAATAATTTATCCTAATATTAGAATAAAGCATGTTTGTAAATATATCTTTATTATCTAAGAGAGAAATATTTATATGTGCTGAAAATAATATCAGATTAATGAATAATATTTCATTCACAGATAAGAATTCGTTATAATCAAAAAATCTTCTGAAATATGTCAGATAATAAATAAAATATGAATAATTATATCTCATATCATGATGGGAATATTAATGAATATATTTTTGATGATGATTCTATTGATAGAAAACATCATTTATACAATTCACTAGCATCTGGTCAAGTTCAACGACCCAGTAAGAGGTTTAAAAAAATAATAATAGATCAGTTTTTTTTTCTATTATAATATCCATTTAAGATATAAATCCTTCAATTTATCCAATATTACATCAAACTTTATCGACTGTTCCAGCAAATCAAATCTATATACACCAACAACGAGATATTTTAGCAAAAAATTATCGTCGTATATCAATTAATGATGATATTATTACAATTGATCATAATGATGCTGATACTTCATTTATATTACCAAATTTATATGAATTACCAGAAGATATTCGTATTCGTGTTATGGATAATCTTGTTGATATACCAACAATGGTATCATTGGAAGAAACAAGTATATATTATTAACAATATCTAATTGGAGAATTTTAATTTAATCATATTATTTTGTAGGACGTCTCAATTGGTGGGTTAATAAAAAATTACCATGTTCGAAATTATATCCTTTAGTAACAAGCGGAGATGGAAATTGTTTATTACATGCAACATCACTGGGTAAAAAAAAGGTTTTATTCAAAGAATATATGAGAAATTAGAAAATAAAAACTATATATTAAGGCGATATTTAGTAATTTTGAATGAAGTTCTGTATGAATATAACATTTCATTGTTGAATTTAATTAAAACGATTTCTTATTATAGAAATTATAGTGATTTGACAGATTTCTTTTAGAAAAATATAAGGCTTATGGTTTTTGCTCGGACAAAATCTATTACTTTTAGTTGATACAAATGATTGACAATGAGTACTTTATCGTTTAGCAATGTGGGGTTTTCATGATCATTCATTATCAATGCGTAAAGCATTAAATGAAACATTAATTACATCAAAACCAAATAATTCACTTTATCGACGTTGGCGTTGGACTCAATCAGTACAAAATAAAAAAGTAACGACAAATTGATTTCTCATTAAACAACGAGAATATCTCATGTTTATAGTATGGTCTGGTTTTTTCTGAACAAGAATGGAATGAAGAATGGAGAAGTTTATTACGATTATCATCAGCTGAACCACGTGTTTCACAAACAAAATCATCCGATTTAAATTCTTCAATTGATGAGTATGTTTAAAACGAGAAAAAAAAAGAAGAAAATCAATTCATCTTGTTTTCTTTTTCCTTAGAATCAATTATTCAAAATCATCTCAAACAAATACTGATCTTCCAACAAAATCTTCATCACAATCAACTCGACAATATTATGAAAGTTTAGAAGAATTTCATGTTTATGTTCTTGCAAATAATATTCGTCGACCGATTATTATCTATTCAGATACAATATTACGTACGAATGATGGTGAAGCTATTTCACCGATTGAATTCGGTGGAATTTATTTACCATTAGGTAAATTATATAAAAAAATTTTTATATCAAAATACAAAAACAATTTTTATTTTTCATAAATAGAAATTTCACCTGACAAATGTCATAAACAACCGGTAAGTTAATTTAATTTATTTTGTTTTTTTTTGATAATATTTTCTTCTTAAATTAAATTAAGATATTTTTGGCATATGATGCTGCACATTTTTCAGCTCTTCTACCTATGGAACAAAATAGTAAATCAACATCAAAAAGTAATTTATATTAAATATTTAAATATTAAATCTTTAATGAATATCTTTTCTTTTTTATTGTCAGTTACTTATCGAATACCTTTAATTGATATCGAAACATTGGATATATTACCATTACATTTTTATATTGATCCTGGTTTAAATTTTCAATGGCCAATTGATGAAGAATTATCTGATGATAAAATTCATTTCTATACAAATTATGGAGAAAATCGAATGGATATACTTGAAAAATATTTAAATTTATCAAAAGAATATATTCCACTAAATAATTTATTTTCACAAACAATAAAAACAAAACATGATAATCGTATATCAACAATAACAACAGATATAAATATATCAAATGAATTAAATTCAACAATAACAAATAAAAAAATTTCTCGTCCATCATTAAATTCATTTTCAAAAATATTTCGTCGAACATTTATTGAACCATTTTCATCAACTAAACGTNGAAATAAATAAATGATTTTGTTTTGTTTTGTTAAGAATTTCTTGATAGAATTGAGATATTTACTTTTCCACAACCAGAAGAACCAACAAGTGCTGTTGTTTGACCACGTTGAGCTGCAAATGAAAGTCGATTAAGAACAGAAACATCCGATCGAGATGGATAGACAAAATTAACATTAGTAAATTTTATATCACCAATTAAATCTTCTTTTTTAACACCATCAGAATTATTTATAGTAATTGTTGATAGCTAAATATAGGAGATATTCTTATTTGAAGTGAATAGATCTATTATTTTTACTGTATCAATTATTTGCCATAATGTGAAAGCTGCACCTTGAGCTTGTGCTACTGATTGAAGATGAGGAGCTGCTTGACCAAGACCAAACATAGCTGTAATAAGTGAGAAAAATACCTAAATAGAAACTAAACAGGTAAAAAACATCGAACTATCCAATGATAGACTATAGTACAATCAGAATTCCACCAATTGAAAAATTCTCTTCACGAACAAGTTTAGCTCCATACCAAAATCCCTACGAAATAAATAAACAGTTTACAATATTGAACAAAAATATTGCTATACCAAAGCATAAGTACAAAACATCAAAAGCCAAACAACACCTATTAAAATTCCATTGAATCCTCCTTTACGAATACCACTTATTTTTGCTGATCTTAAATATTTTTCATATCTATCAAAATGAAAAAACATATTTAAAATATTTATTAATCAATTATAATTTCTTACCTTTTTGATTCGTAAGCCGCACCATTGTATGAAAAAACAGTTCGTATACTACTTAAAACTTCTTCAGCAATAGCTCCAGCTTTTGCATATGATTTCAATTCTTGTGATGTCATTGTTGCTGTTATCTGTTAGGACATATCCAAATAAAATAAATACTGTTAATTACTTATTTTTTTTACTACATACTCGTGTAACAATAGCTGCACTAACAACAATCATTGGACTGACAGAAAGTATCACTAATGTTAATTTCCATCCTTTAATAAATCTAAATTAAAAAAAGCAGATCATCATGAATAGAATGTATATATCTCATAAATTAATCTGACATACCCGAGTATAAGACCAGCAATAAACGAAGCAATAAATTGTAATGCTGATCCAAGTTTATCACCTGTACCATCATGTACTTTATTAACATCTTCTGTCAGTCTTGTACTAAGTTGACCTGTTTTATGTGTATCAAAATAAGCTATTTCTTTACTAAGTATTGATCGCAAAAGTGTTTCACGAAGGCGACGTGTTTGACGTTCACATGCAATAGACCAAAAAGAAACTTGAAAATATCCTACTACANTCCATAGATACTACTCTTGATGTATCACCATATGCAATATTTTCTCTAATCGTTGCATCAAATAAAATTGGTTCTTGACTAACAAAACCAATTTGACTTCTCCACCATTGAAGATTTAAAGTTGATAATTCATTTTGATTAATTAACTAAAACATGTTGTTTTCATTTTCATTGATTTTCATAATAATCATAATAAAATTTCTCAACCAAACATATGACTTTTATTCTTGATATTTGCTATCAAGAGAGTAAACATATCTCGTTAACATTTATGCGTATAAATATATAACCCTGGGATTACGGGATTCGTATACATACGGACTAAGTTTTTATGCAAATTATAACTTTGATCATTTTTTCTTTTTCTTTAGTCATTGCGTATTCTCTCTTGTTCTTATGCTTTCAGTATTATAGCAACATTATATGACATTATTATACATGTATGTCAAGTGAAAAAAAAAGAAATTGCTGTTTTAGAGATCTATGAGAACCCATAGGCTCTCCAGTTAATGAAAACCATTCAAAGTCCTGTGAAACCAACTAGATATTAGAATACTATAATAATTGTTGTTCGAGAATGTTGCGATTACTGTTAAAATTCTAATCTTACAGATGATCAGATGCACAATTTTATTAGATTTATATTACGATAAGACACCACAGAGTTATTTATGGAGGGTAACACAAAAAATTCCGCAAGATTTTAGACAATTCTACTCTGTAAATAGTGTGTTTTATAATATTGATTGAAGCCTAATACAATCCTCTGTTTTCCATTGACAAATAATACCTGATTTTTAGCTTTTATGAGCAAAGTCACATGTTTTTATTATCTTTGCAAAAATCTCGTAAGCAAAGAGTTAAACAATATTCTTTTTTTTTTGTATGAAGGCATTGTCAAAATAAATCTACTGGTTTGGATAAATATCTATGTTGAGAAGATTTATATTGTTAATATTTTCAACTTACTATTTGTCCACCTGTCAGATTATAAAAATGTTCAAGTAATTGAATAATTGTACTTTTTCCACAACCAGATGAACCGACGAGAGCAATTTGTTTATCTAGATTAAATATAATTTAGAATTTTTTTTCTATAGAAAAAAAACGACTGTTTCATACGAGGCTCAATTGTTAAATTAAAGTTTTTCAAAACTTGTACTTCTCGTCGATTTGGATAATGAAATTCTAAATTATTTAAAACAATTTCACCATCAAAATTTTCCTGTTAAAAAAATTAAACAAAAAAGAGTCAAAACATGTTTCAATATCATCATTTTACCAATTTTTTGCCAACACTCGAAGAGTTGTCAATTGTTGGTACACGGTCAAATAACAACAAAATTTTTTTTGATGATGCCTAGATAATCAATAGAATTTTTTTATTATTATTTATATTCAAACATACGATTGCTTTTGAATAATCCGGTGACATTGATGCAGTTTGACCGACCTTTATAAAAACAATAAAATAAATAAGATGGTAATATATTCATCTCTATGAATTGACTTACAGCCATTGCACCGAAAAGGATACAATTAAGTACACTAAATTAAATACAAACAAATAACTCAAATCCTTATGAAAAAAGTTTTACAAACTTACAGCATAATATTTTCAAAACTAAAAAATAAAAATTTGATTTAATATGTTTTCAAAAATATTGAATAATAACTTACGTCATTGCTCCTTGTTCAACTCTCCAAGCTCCAAAAGAGAATAAAGCTGCTTGTGCGAAAAACATAATCTTTAAATAATAAAATTAAGATTATGAAAATTTATTTAATAAAAATGAAATCTTACTGAATCAGTAAGACTGAATAAAAAGCCAAATACATGTGCTCGTTTTAAACTATTTCTGTAATAAACAAAAAAAAAAAAAGAAACATCTTTGTACAAACTTTTCTTTTGTTTTTTACACATACCTATAAGGAAACTCAAGTAATTTACAATATTCATCACCAAAATGTTTTTCTTTTGTTAATTGTGCAACTGTTCGTATATTTGATATAGTTTCAACAGCAATCTATCATATAAATAATTAACCTATGCTGCGAAAATCATACACCAAAATATTCAATAATTTCTCGACTAATTAAAGACAATCGACTTAGAGCTAGAAGTAGTTAGTTAGAATCTTTTTAAACAACTATTGAGAATTTCCTTCGAAGATAACATTGAACAACTATCGTCAGATTGTTTGAAAAGATTGAAAAAGAAGTATTGGCGTACAAAATACAATTTTATAATTCGATTGAAACCTATCGAATTCCAAATGTGAAATAGTTTTTTATGACTTAGTTTAATAAAACAAAGTTCATTCTACAAAAAGTCAAATATTTGCTTATGCATGAGAGACTGTAAAACTTTTCTTTTTTTTCTTTACGTAGTTTTTGAAATAGAAATTGTTGTAGGAGACACGCATAGATAAGATTTTACTTATTGTAATATCTCGTTTTGTATAGAAATTCAATGCTCTACAATAACGTTGAGTTGCAGTTGTTTCAAGACATAAATTAACGACGGCGCTAAAGCCGCTATTTTCCGTTATAAAAAAAATCAGTTTTGATCTTTTTTTTTTACAAAATATACTGATGGTTGTTCAATCTTATCCGAAAAAGAACTTCTAAACATATATTCAGAAACAATGAAAAACTTTAATCCTAACTAACTACGTCTGATCCTACCATTATGTTTGTAGTAATCGCAAAATGAGCGATTATTTCTTGACAAGACTTTCGCATCATAGATTATTTCAATTCATAGGTAATTCTTTTAATTACTAACCTTTCCAGCATCTTCCAACGCTTTTTTATCCTAAAACATAAATAATAGAAAATTTTCATGGTCAAATCCTTTCAAACAAACTTTATTTGCAAATCCAGTCATTAGATATGTTTGTAAAAATCCAGCAACAATCATAAATGGTACAAAAGCTAACATAAGTAATGTTAATGACCAACCATAAATAAATGCTAAAATCATTCCAACACCAAGATTTGATACGTTTTGTAACATAGTACCAATTCGAATACCAGTCGCCTATGAAATAAGAAAAGAAATCATACTTTATCAAATATGAAAAATAAAATGTTTACTCCTTGAACATCTGAAGCTTCAGTTGCAAGACGTGTACATAAAGCACCTGTATTATTTTCTGGTTGATCAAAATAAGCAACATCTTGTTGTAATAAAGTTTGAAAGATTCTTGAACGAAGACGTTGTGTTAATGTTTCACCCGATATTGAAAAAAGAAAACTCTATATGAAGATAAATAAAATACAATTTTTTACAATTAATTCTACGTCTAAGTTAACAAAGTTGTGTTATTTCAGTTAACAATATATTTACTTGTAAAAACATAGTAAAAAACATTAGAATACCAAAACCAATAAAGATTAAAATATACATTAATATTCGACGTTCTTGAACGCCATGATCACATATTTGAAAAACCTTAATGAAAGAATGAAGAACAAACAAATAAAGAAAACATCTGAAATTTTCAAAGTATAATAAAATAACTTACTGCAATAACTTTACTTAATACAACACCAAATGCTGGTTGAATACCTTAAAAACAAATCGAAATATAAAAATAAAAGAAAAATTTTAAAATTCATTATCGAACCTCCATTACAAATACATGAAAGACAAGCAAATAGAATAATGGTTAATTCGGGTCGATTCATTGCAAGCATTTTAAAAAATGGTGAAGGTCCGGTATACTAAATTAAAAATAAATTTCTCATTTATTTTAATTATTTTTGTTTTTGTAGATTTTTTTTTTGATTAATAGAAGTATCGATATGATTAGTACAAATATGTGCAAACGTGACTGTACAACAACAAAAGATAAAGTAGAATTTATTACTTGATTAGAAGATTGATTATTCTGAAATAGAAGACATGTTGTCGTATTTAAAAAGAAAAATATACGAAACATATTATTGTTAGTGTCAACAAGCAATTATTATTCTCGAATATCTCACATATATATTTTTCTTTTTTCAATATCTTTTACTATAGTAGTCAAGTGATTATATATAAATCTTATTGTTGTTTTATAGGAATATAGTACGATAAATTTACTTCGGTAACTGCTTCTGCTTCATTGGTTTTATCAGTCATTTCGTATTTTTCAGTTGATGTATTGGTTCCACGTCGAACATGTTCACTTGATGATTTTGTTCGATCATAAACATAAACTGCTAAAACAAAGGAAACTTTTTTTTAGTTTCATTTATTCACATATTTTTCTTTTTTTTCAATACAGCCTCAGAAAAAATCTCGACTGCGAAGAATAAATAATGTAATAGATTCACTTTGATGCGATATAAACAATTGGTTTTACTGTTCAATCTTATCATGAATTAATTTTTCAGTTCTTTTTTTTTTAAGAGAACACTTTTTTCATACCTGGCATGTCATCGTCTTCATCGTTTTCACCTTTCTTTCCATCATTTTCATTCAAATGTAAATTTTGTGCTTCAACAAGACCATGATAAACTCCTCGTGCATTCATTAACGTTTCATGATTTCCTTCAAATAATCATTTATTAAAATATTCATTTCATTTATTAGTACATTTACCTTCTTCAATTACTANTTTGTGTTCGAAAAATCTTCTGCTTGACTTTAATCAAGCAATGTCCTTTTTTAGCTAGACAGTAATGTCCTGCGGGAACGACTTTTTCTGATTCCCATTCCCTAAAAAAAACTTTTTGTTCCCATTCCCTTTTTCCCATTCCCTGAAAAAAATTTTTTGTTCCCATTCCCACGTTCCCATTCCCATAAGGTTTTCTAAGGGTCTATTCATCTATGCGAAAGTGTCATTGGCATATATGTATATCAGTTTGCGTATCGCGACGCTGTTACATAGTGCTTCACTTCTTTTTTTTTTCTGTTTTGTTGTTCTTGTCATTTTCGAAGACGATGATGAAAAAGAAAATAATATTTGTGATAATTAAATTACGATGTGGTTAAGAATAAATCAATAGTCTATTTTTTGTTGATACACATTTGTTATTTTTCTGTTAATTGTATATGAATAAGAACAGTTATTGAAAATAAACAGTTATCAGATAGAAATATTTTTATGTGTATTGAGATAAGATAGAAAGAATTTTGGGAACGTCAATTTTTAATTCTGTTCCCATTCCCTAAGTCCAAATGGGAATGGGAAAATTAGGGAAAAAAGTCGTTCCCGCAGGACACTACTAGACAGACTGATTATACATATTTTCATTCTTCTATGAGACAATACTACAAGCTCGAATTAAATATTTCTTCTTCATCAAAAGTCTAGAAATTATCAGTGTGTTGTAAATTTATTTATCACAGAATAAGCGTATATAAAAAAAATTAGTAATTATTAATTAAATGCATAAAAAAAGGGTCTAATAGTGAAGAATAAAGTATAAGATTTACGAAAATCTTTGAGAATTAAAATATAAAAAAAAAACCATTCAAATCTTTCATTTTATTTGAGTTGAGCATTACAAGAATTGGTTATATAATACTGTAATAATTTAATACCATTTTGATACCACCAAATAAATGCAGCTAATGCTGAAAAATGCCAAATCTGATGACTAGCTAATAAAATATCAAAATAACCTAGATTTAAAAGAAAAGTATATATATATATATTAGGTGTATCATAATAAATATTCATATAGAAATAAAAGCAATACCTGGAAAAAATCTTTCAGGAAATTTTGTTAAATAAGCCAATGCACCAATAGCTAATATTCCATAAAGTATAAATAATTTCGGAAAAAAATATTGTACATGATGATTCGACCAACCACCATGAAGATAGTACCAATGTAAAGCCGGTAATATACCAAGAAGTGATATAGTTACAAATAAAGTTACATGAATATTTCGTGTTATATATTGTTTTACTCCATGTACATAATAGACGACAGCAATAAACATTATACCAATGATTATTGTTTCATATCGTAATCTCCAACTACGATAACATTCAAAAGCAAGATGAAGACCACATAAATAACAACCAAGAATACCAAATCCAATACCACATAAATCTAATTTAAGAAAATCAGCAAATGCTCGTGATGACATACAACCAAAAAGATGAAAAGCAACCGAACATACCATACATATCTAAAATTACAAATTGAAAGAATAAAATTATTTACATAAATTGTTAGTACAATTCCTGTGGGATAGAAATATGAAATACAATGTAGCTGTTCTTGTCAATCACAGGAATATTCTTTTATTCTATCTATTTTGAGACATATTTCTTCAGCATTATTTTACTTAATTCTCCAGATATTCAAGAAGGAAGTAGTTCATATATTATAACGAGACGTTATTCATATACGGTCTGTAATGTTGCCATAGTAATGTCTATGAAGGGAATGGGATGGACTGATACTTATATCACTATACATTAACATTCCTTTTAGATCGTGTTTCATAAAAAGTAAATATAAATAGACTTACAATAACAGAAAAAGTATAAAATAATATGATATAATAATCAGCTGATGATGTCAATAATGGTAAAGCTTTACCCATAAAAATATCACGAAAGAAAAAGTATATAAAAAGAGCAGCACCAATTGCATGCGACCAAACATTTACTGATTCATTATTTAAATAAAGTAAACTAAATAATATGAAAAATAAAATATTCTAGAAAATTTGTAATAATATTTAAAATTTAAATAATAATTACCTAATTAAACAACCTTTAAAAGTTAAACCATGTCGATAGCCTGTTCGAATATATGGATTTGATTGAAGATATGCAGGTATCATATCAAATGAATATAATCGATTGGTTTTGTCGACATTTTTTGATTGAGACTTTTGTGAACATGGTCTATCTGACTCATCATTCACTAAATGCCGACCCAGACCCATGAGAATTTAATCTATAATAAATATAAACTTTAAAATAATAATAAAAAAAAATGCATGTTTCACTTTTGACAATTTTTGGTTAACACTACATAGAAAAAGTGATCATTTCAAATAAATATATTCTATTCATTCTTTTTCTTTTTGTTAATTCTCATTGTTTGTAATGAATAAAACAAAAACAACATTTACTTGTCTTTTATTTTTATTTGATCAACAAAAAAAACAAGAACATCTGCAATAATAGTGACAACAAAGTAACTATTTACGATACTTCAGTTTCTTGTAATAACATGTTCGGAATACCTTTTGAAATCGGAAATTTTCTACCAGTTTCCGGACAAATTAGTTCACCTTCTTCAACTTCATATTCAAGTAGAACTCTATGCATTGTCTTAAGAAACTCATCATCTTGTTGCATAGTTTCAGACATTGTTTCTGGTAATGATTCATTTAAACCAAGCTACAAAAATAAAAACAATTGACGAAAAACAAAATCAAACAAAAACAAAACTTACATCATTAATAGCTGCTCTTAATGCATCATATTCAATACGTTGTATAATACGAGTTATAAAATCACGATTATAATCCACGGAAATATGTTCCACTTTGTCAGCTTTGATTTTTAATGGAAAACCTTTTGTTACTCCTTTGAGAATATTTGATGTAAGCATATTATGTGTTATTAACTTCATTTTATTTATCTAAAAAAAAAATTAGTGAGATTATATGTATATATATATATATTTACTGTTATGATTGGTGAAAAAATTTAAAAAAGAAAAAAAAAACGTAAAAAAAATTCATTATCACATTTGACGACTTTTGAGTTTAGAAATAAATTGATCATTAACAATAAAAGAATTCGTGGACGGAATATTAGTATTATCATTTTCATCATAGAGTAATTTCTGTATTCATTCAGGTGTACAACTAATAAAGAGTATGGGTAAGGATTTAATACCG